GGAGAGCGAACGCAACAGTGTGGACAACATCACTGTGTACACTGCTTTATGTATCGGAGTTGTTTGAAATAAATCGATGGAAATTGTTTTTCATCTGGACCAAGATTGTGATGACTTGTCGCAGAATACATGTGGCTCGGCCATAGGTCACGGCACTTTGCGATACCGTAATACTTCCGGTGACAAACAACGTTTCATACCGTTTCGAATGGACTCATGGTTGTCAGTGGACAGTAAGGAACCGATAATCCTTGCACGAATAACAAATGTCCGATCTAACCATCCCAAAATTAGACAACTATTACTACTGTCAACAGCTGTAACAACCAAGCATGTCTGTACACTTGGTCTGGTCTAGTAAAGTCATATTTCGCGGTTGCGCAATTTGGAACCAGAACTGGTTAATATACGTGGGTCAAGAATGATCTGGTACCTGGAGTAAGCTGAGGCCCGTCTCGCATATCGCGCGTCAGGGCACTCTCCTACCCAGAGTTCCATGCGCCTAGGATAGTACCTCTACCACAGGCCAGAAAGATGTGGCAGATTTGATTTAATAATGGCTAGTTCTCTTGGGTTTTACCACAGTTGTAGACGTCTCTGCAGGCTAAAGAATCATATGTTTATAAGTTTATCAGTATTATACTTACACAGCGACAATTACGGAGATTCACAGAGTACACTTAGTCTAACATTTGGGCCTATGCCTTTCAATTCGTTGGTTTCACATTACTTGTCAACTCGCTGTGCGCATGCGCAGACGTGTGAAAAATATCCACTTGCATGCTTCCGGTTTGGTCGTATGTTTATCGATAGTGTAAATGCATGCTAAATAAAAGTCGTTATGAAAATTATTTACGTTGTGACAACTGTTCATAGCTGAGTACATACTTCCATTTGCCTCTGCTTTTCAATAATTGATGTCCTATTTTGGTTGCAACTCCATCAGAGATGTGTTTGTTTAGTTGTGAGAAGGGGATCTGCGGGAAGGACGGTGTTGGTGAGATGCGTTTATACAAGAGCTTGTTAACATAACTTAAGCTATTTATTTAACTAATCCCGGCCTCTGTTTCATAAATCAACTGGGATCAGTTGTATTCGACATAAAAATATATATTTGTTTTGATTTTTGTTTTCTTTGGAGTGTTTACGCTATCGATAAACCGGAAGCATGCAAGTGGATAGTTTTGACACGCTCTGCGCATGCGCACAGCGAGTTGGAAAAGTAACGTGAAACCAACGAATGGAAACGGATCTCCTATGTGGTGTAATGGAAAGAGCGTCCGCCCGCCCAGCGATAGTAAGTTTAGTGGTTCGAATCCCGGCTGCGCCCTACCAAACGATGGTAAATAATGATACGTATTAATTCTGTCAAGAGTTCAGCATTAAAGTAGATGTTACGACTATGTCGATGTAGGGTATTCGTGTTAAAACTGCGCGCTGACCCTTTAACATCCGCATCTGTCAAAGCCCATTTCATATCAATTTCTCTGTAAACGGATGCAAAAGTAAAAAACCCTCTCTGTTTGTACACATCGAAAATCGATTTCAGCGCATATCGGACAGTATAGATTGTTTTAACTCTTGACTTTTCTCCGATGGAACCGTTAATTCATAAACTGTGCATCCGTTCCTTTGAGTTCGGAGAACAGACGAACACAAAACAAGTACTGACGGAATTATCTCCCTTACACTGGCAGACGAGAATTTCATTTGTGCATGTCAGTGTTGAGCTTTGTTAAAAATGGGTGGTATGTGATTACATATGAAAATTGTTTTGAATACATGCCTCTTTGATCAGTCTGTCTTTGAATGAAAGGTTAACGCATTTTCACTTTTGACCGACCATAAACACGCCAACATATTGGACAGCGAGTTCGTACGATTTCCCTCCGTTAACAACAAAGGTTCCATCAATATCAGTTTGGACAAAACAAGACTTATTTATAAATTTATACCGAAAAGAAATATATAACTAAGATATCTGGATCGATTGGTGTTTTGAATGTCTCGTAAACAGTAAATGTTCTGGAACCGAGCATGCAATGGAATTAACCTAAATTGAATCAGGCGTGAGGTTTTGAATTTATATAGGAATATAAAGTTATATATATACTCATGGAAACAAATAAGGGAATACATGAAAGCAAACAAGTTCCTATATTCATTTCAAGGTTTCATCTCATGTTGTGTATTGCACTGTGGGTGAAAAGCCGGAAAAGCATAAAAAACACATGTCCTTTCACGTGTTCCTTTATTTGTTTCCATGAGTATATATATACTCAAACTGTAGGAAATAAATATGGATTTTTTGTCTCAATGACCTTTCCCCAACGACTCAAAAAATATTTCAAACGCCTTCGTTCCAAATGCGTCTTATAGTATGACCAGAAATTATTGAGAATTTTAGGAATATGTTTAATTGGATTTCTAGTATAAACAACCTTGACCAGCTATCAAGTGCTTGGTTTCATTCAAGAGAGACAACTCCGTTATCTTTTTCATTAGTTTGTGAAGAGTTATCCCCTTTGTTTACTTGCTAGCAGACGACATTTTCAGTGATCCTCAGTATGGATGATTTAGAGAAGAGGAAGTTGATTTTAGAGTATTATAACAAGGACATCAGATCAGCTAAAGTGATTTCAAGTAGAACAGGCATCCCTTTGTCCACTGTTTATCGTGTTTGGGAAATATTGCAAATGGATATGGCATTGAGCACCAGGGAGGCGCAGGTAGGCCCAGAAAATTGACTGTCGGTGACAGGAGGCGGCTTGGTATTCTTGTTTCTAAAAACAAACGAAGGAGTTTAGAAAACTTAAGGCTGGATATGATTGATAGAGGAACTGTGGCTGTCTGTAAGGAGACAATTAGAACTGAGCTGCATGCAATGGGTTGGCAGAAAGGTCGAGGAATTCCATCACCGATCATGAAACCTGAACAAAAGGAGCAAAGGTTGAACTGGTGCTTACAGCATAGAAATTTTAACTGGGACAATGTGATTTTCTCAGATGAAAGTTCTGTGTGGCTGTTTCCTAATACACTGAAATTCTGGACCAAACAAACAGAAAAACCTTTGTATCAGCGCCCAAAGTACAGTCCGAAATTTAACGTGTGGGGTGGCATATCTGTGTTAGAGGCAACGCCCCTCTGTGTATTTGAAGGGAATATGAACAGTGAGCGGTACACAGATATTCTCGAGGGACATTTACTTCCATCTGCTCACGTGTTCTGTGGAAAGTTTTGGATTTTCCAGCAGGACGACCCAAACGTCGTTGAAAGCATTCACAGGCCTGGTTTCGGACCCAAAATATGACATTAGCCCTGACCTAAATCCAATAGAAAATGTTTGGGGACTTATGAAGGAAAGTGTCAATAAGAAAAATCTGACAAATATTGCTGAAATGAAAGAAGAGGTGGTCCGATATTGGGACAGCATGGACCACGACTTTCTAACTTCTTTGATCAGTAGTATGCCCCGCCGCATTGAAGCCTGCATTGCTGCCCATAGTGACTTGGCAAAATACTAACTGTTCACCTGTCTTTGAATCTGGAGTTATGTTCTGCTAATATTCACATTTAATACGTGAGTAATGAGTGAAAAAAAATACAATCTTTAAATTCTCAATAATTTCTGGTTGTACTGTATATACTGAAATAAACATTATCTCTTAATCAGTCTACCACTCTTACATATCCTACATAATTGTTGGGATCAATGCTTATGATATTTTGTAAACCAGGCTTGTGATATTTAGTAAGCCCTGTCTGGAACTGTTGTGTGTATATTTCATGTAATGTGACGAATATCATGTATATCAAATATTCCCGGTTGTGCAATAACTCGGCATCGCAATATACATCAATGGATATGATCCATGGCTATCAGGGGAGCGGTGGAAGTTGCTGGTGTTGGGGGACGCCACGGAAGATGAAGTGCAACCCTTGCCAAAGAACGAATTGTGTCTGCTATCAACAGCTCTGATCTTAGAGATCAAATCGTATGGTTTTCAACTCCACCGTAGCGAAACATACCGGCCGAAACCATACTGCTCAACTGAGCCACAAGGACCCGCTCTGTATATTCCAGTCATCAACAGCATGAGCATCGATCTACGGAACTGGGTGAGTGAGTGAGTTTGGTTTTACGCCGCACTTAGCAATATTCCAGCTATATGGCGGAGATCTGTAAATAATCGAGTCTGGATCAGACAATCTAGTGATCAACAGCATGAGTATTGATCTATGAATTGGATACGATACGTCAACTGGCGAAGATCCCGGGTAGAATAGGTCTTCAGTCATAAAAGGCGACTATGCTTGTCGTAAAAGGCGATTAACGGGATCGGGTCGCTTGCTGACTTGTACAAAGATCGATGCTCATGCTGTTGATCACTGGATTGTCTGGTCCATCGATTATTTACAGTCAGCGCCATATAGCTGGAATATTGCTGAGTGCGGCGTAAAACTAAACTCACTCACTGCAAGCATGGGTTGCTAAAGACCAATTCTAACCCGGATCTTCACGGGTACCGACTCATGGATCTCACACTGTATACAGATTAAATTACTATGTTCGCTACTAAGCCACACCATATCAGTGAGGCACCCTAATCAGTACCTACACTTTTCACAAACACCTGGTGTCATCACTGATCCATGCACACGTTTTTCATCACTTCACCGCATGGCTGTTTTGGGAGGGCATTCGACGTTTTGGTTTTGAAGTTTTGATGACATAAAATATTTTTTGTTAATTATAACCCCGCACCCAGATGTATTCCAGCTATATCACAGCTGTTTTTAAAAATCCATTGTCAACGAGACAAGTCAATGACTGCCGTAATAAACATCGATCAACACAAGTGGAATATGACAACATGTCAACAACAAAGTCATCGAACCTCATCAATCGATTCATTCAGTAGGCCCACGCGCCAACACGGGATCCTGTGGGCTGATATTCTCGCCCCGATTCTTGGAAATACAGAACAGAACTAACTGAATAATGAAAAGAGTTTATTACAGCAATGACAACAGGAAGAGATCGATGTAGAGTGATTAAATTCAAGAGTAGTAATGAAACATATCGATGCATAGAATTCGATACGAGAAAACGTTTAGTTGTACAAATGCATAGAGGCTTAACTAATGATATTAGTATAATTGAGAATCAGATTAAGAAAAAACGTAGAGGAGGGAAGATAAATAATCATTATCAAAATATACACAAGTATGGGATATTTACAATGTAAAAGCATATTATTTTTCGATTAATCAAGCGTTCTTGATTGGTCAGATATCCATGACGTCATTGATGTCAATCATGACAGCTTGCAGACCGAGCACAGGGCGATGGACAATATTGCTGTACAGGTGGTCACGTGATACTGTAGCCTCTCACTTCGCTGTCATCATCTTTACGAATTCTGAAAAGAAACGAGACAGTGAGACTGGTTGTTTGGGGTTCAAAGAAAAACTGGGCGAGTTTGGCACAACAGTATTCCATGTCTATCACCGCGTGTCAGCTCAAGGTAGGACGAGCGAGTGAGTGAGTGAACTTAGTTTTAAGCAATATTCCAGCAATATCACGGCGGGGAAACAAAAATGGGCTTCACACATAGTACCCATGTGGGGAATTGAACCCGGGTCTTCGGCGTGACGAGAGAACGCTTTAACCACTAGGCTACCCCACGCCCTCAACGTGGACGATGGCTCGAAGTGATGCACGAGGGCGGGGATAGTATTTGCACACATAAAAAACCAAATAGGGGCGATCTGAGATTCGAACCAACAATCAAAGATTTCTGGAGTGCCAAAGAGGCGCAACTGGGCCACCTGCAACCCATAAAGGCAAAGGCTCATTCTATATCTAGATTTCCAAGCTAACTTTCAGGCCATGATTTTTCATAGGTTATGTTCATCGGAAGCAAGTAATTACATCCCATTCATTAAGCGCTGTATGTGAAACAATAGCTCGCTGTCAACTCTACAAATGATTTATTACAGGGAATGCCATTGATTATTACACTGATGTCAAACACAATTCTCACTGCCGAGCTGCCGTGCTATTGAATATTGCTACAGAACACCGGGTTAGTGAGATGGTTTTAACACCGTTTTGATCAATACTTCAGCTACATCACATGGCACGATGATCGTAGATGTTTGTTTGGTGAAACCAGTAGTGTCACTTACAAAGCAAGAATCATTACATGGCGAAAAGGGTTCCTGTGAGTGAGTGTGGTTTTACGTCACGTTGAGGAATATTCCTTGCAGCTTAAGGACGCAAAAAGGACCGCGAATATTGGCTACCATTAGACCGCTAGTGCATCATGCAGTGCAGCGCCATGGAGTTTGGGCAAGACAATCCAGTGATTGATCGATGATGTCATGATTGTCGTATGATGACACAAATAGTCACCGAGCTTAACCATCCATCCATCCATCCATGCTGGCTGGTTGGTTGATTGGTTGGTTGTTGTTGTTGTTTAACGCCGTACGCCGTTTAGCATTATTACAGCTATATGACAGCGGTCTGTAAATAATCGAGTAGGGACCAATTGGGATACGATGACATGTGTTAACCATGTCAGCGAGCTTGACCACCCGATCCTGTTACTCGCATCTTACGACAAGCATGGGTTGCTAAAGGCCAGTTCTAACCCGGATCTTCATGGGCTTAACCACCCAAGCCCATGTGACCTTTTACAACATGCATTGGTCACTGAAGATAAATATTGAGCGGGATAAAAATTGCTAAAACCAAAAAGAATAACACTACTGGAACAACGGAACCCATTCGTCATACTGAAACAATGAACAGCCACTGTAGAGCATCGTCATATTAAAACACCATATACATATACGTATGTTTAATTTGTTCAACGATGCTTTAGTGTAAATATAGACACTGTTCTACTTAATCATACTGCGTTTGAGACACATGAATACTTTTTTCAATTACAGGGGCAGTATGGCCAATGCCAATTGTCAAATCAATACTTTTTGCATTTTCCCTGTATTTTGTAAACCATAAATCGCGAATGATTGCTTCCAGGACAGGACAATGATCATGAAAACGGTAAAGGCCCATCTCCGTTCAGAACGGATGAATATGTACGTGTCGTGAGCCGTCAATCAAATGTCACATTATCACATGATTGATAGAAATACACGAGTTGAATGGGTCCGACTGTTACGCGGTGCGAATAAGCAAGCTCGGAATTTAATTAACGTAGCATAATTGCATACAATCACACCTCTGGACGCATGACCACTCCAATGTCCAGTACGACGACGGCGGCCACATTAACAGCAGCACCGTCGCTGAATGAAATGGTCTCTTGTCGGAGCTTGCAACAGATAGCTGTCTACCAATGTTTCGAGTGCATTACGTATGCTCATTGTTTAGCCAAAAAATATTGTGTCTGAGTCTGGAAAGGTAATCAATACACGTATGGAGCTACGAACTTGACAATAACGCGGAATTCAAGGCCACTGGAGACTCGTTGTCAGAGCGTGATGAATTGCCACGGTGAGGAGGACGGCTCTGATCTCACATCCCGCCGGAACGGAACTGATTTCATTTACATGGACCAGTCATCCCAACGTCAAAAGCCAGTCTCCGTTTAACTTTGATTCCACTGAGACAATCTTGGTGTTGGTTATGCAGCCATAGCTTGTCTGTGTTGATTTATGTATATGGGATAATATATAAATCGATGACGTCATCAACTGCTCGTAACGATGATTGCACACCGCAATATTCGAGTTATATGACAGCAGCGCAAAACAAAGACCACTGGCCAGACATTCCCGTGATTGACATTAAGAGCATTGTTCTATGCAACTGAGATATAACATGCATCTACCAAGTTGTTGATGATGACCGGATCTTCACGGGCAATACATGTATTTGCATCCATTGTTACATCGCTTCGTGAACCCTATGTCATTTCAGCTACTTAGAAGCAAGGATGCTGCTTTTCATCACACAATTCTGGCAGTTCTAACATTAAATGTTTTTAACTTCTGAGATAAGAAATGTGTTTTACGCACCTTCATAATTTACTTGTCCGTCACCATCAATATCTGCTTCCCTGATCATTTCATCTACTTCCTCGTCCGTCAATTTCTCGCCCAAGTTTGTCATGACATGCCTCAACTCAGCTGCACTGATGAAACCGTTGCCGTCCTTGTCGAACACTCGGAATGCTTCTCTTAGTTCCTCTTCGGTATCCGTATCTTTCATCTTCCGCGCCATCATTGTGAGGAATTCTGGGAAATCTATTGTTCCGTTTCCTAAAAGTGATAAGAAATTGACTATTTAGGCACTGCTGAAGAATTGTGAGTGAGTGAGTGAGTGAGTGAGTTTGGTTTTACGCTGCTTCTAGCAATATACCAGCAATATCACGGTGGGGGACACCTGAAAAGGGCTTTACAGGATGTACCCAAGTGGGAAATCGAAACCGGTCTTCGGCATGACGAGCAAACGCTTTAGTCATCAGTCTACCTCATCGCCCCTGATGTGGGAATGAAAGTTCGAAGTGACACAGTTCTTAGACTGACTGACTGAGTTTGGTTTTACGACGCTTTTAGCAATATTCCAGCAACATCACGGCGGGGAACACCAGAAATGGGCTTCACACATTGTACCCATGTGGGGATTCGAACCCGGGTCTTCGGCGTGACGAGCCAACGCTTTAACCATTAGGCTACCCCACCGCCCCCAGTTCATAGACACTTATGATTACACTTCAGTTGAACCCACGAGAAAGGGCATAGTCCTGAAACATCTAGAAACCTGACCTCGTTCTCACAACAACAGGTTTCAAGAGACGCCAGGTACAAATTGACTTTAAGAGTTCAACGAACTGGAAAACAGTATTATTATCTCAGGGTACAGTGTATATTTTATTCATCATCAGAATCTGCTTGGGTTATTTACTTTACAGGGAGCCAAAGAAGCAATTTATAACAACTTCAACTGGAGTAATGTTCATGTAGCGCAATTGTCATTCCTCAGTGCGCAATGTTCATATCCATATGACATGCACCATCGAGAAAAATAGACTCACCATCAGCATCTACTTCGTTGATCATGTCTTGCAACTCTGCCTCTGTTGGGTTCTGACCTAGTGACCTCATGACGGTTCCCAACTCTTTGGTTGTGATGGTGCCATCGCCGTCTTTGTCGAAGAGACTGAATGCCTCTTTGAATTCTGAATAGATAGAACAGGTGCTATGTGTATACATCATATACGTCACAGGATTTTCAATTCACAGTCCATGCAGTATGGTTATTTTCAGGGTGAAAACGGCAATCTGATAGAGATAGACCGGTTACAAATTAAGTCAAGGCGAATTAATTGTCAGTCTATGTAAACTTAGGCCCAGTATTATTCGTTAACGAATTATGTATTATGTTAACGAATAATACTGAACCTAAGTTTACTTAGACTGAATTAATTGTTTGATCGGCATTCCTGAGTTGGTGAGTCAATAATTAAGCATGTGACTAACATGGATGAGAACTTCACCATTAGCTTCAGTGAGTGAGTGAGTATGGTTTTACGCCGCTTTAAGCAACATTCCAGAAACATCACGGCGGGGAAACAGCAGAAATGGGCATCACTTTTAGCTTGATAAAGTAAGTATGTATGTCGAAAACATCGCTCTAAGCAATAGACAAGACGTTGTTATCCATAACATCGTATGCTTTATTATCAAGGCGAATTAGAGATAATTACTATCACTATCACAGGTGGATGTGTGCTTGTCGTGGTTGGCCCCTATTCACGTACAGTAACAGCAATAACCCCTCAGATCTTCAGTTTAACGGTCCGTATGATGAGATACGATATGGGTGCATTTACCTTCTTGGAAACAGGGGTTACGTTTGAGTGGTTCATGGGTCTGATTTCTGAGTGAGTGAGTTTAGTTTTACGCCACTTTTAGCAATATTTCAGCAATATCATTACAGAGTACATCAGAAAGGGGCTTAACAAATTGTACCAATGTGGGGAATCGAACCTGAGTCTTAGGCGTGACGAGCAACCTCGAGGCTACCCCACCGCCCCGTCCGATTTCTGAGGCAATGCACATTCATGTATCATCATGTCTCTCTCGATTACTACACAGTGACACACAACCTCCGAGACAGCTTACTCTACAACAAGTTTGACATGTATCCGGTTACGCCAGGTTAATATTTTATGACCAAAGCGCATTCAGCATTCTTCATCTGATGGAGCTCAGATCGATTCATCTCACCGTCTTTTCTAGCACATAAATATCCAGATTTTATAGCTGTCTGTATGGCTACCGTCTATACATAATCAACACTAAATCACATTAGGCTTAACCACTAGGCTACATTACCGCCCTTACTGCGCCACATACAGAAACGTAATGGTACCGAGACAACATGGTTTCGTAAACGGCCACACCGTATATCAAGTTATTTGTAAAGGCAATTGATTTTAAAGGTTAATGAATTTAGTTCATAAACATTTAACTCAATAATACCATTTGCTAAGATGGTTGGGGTCTGGGTATTACGCCCCAATAAAACGATTTGTGTTATAATAAATAATAAATATGTACAAATTCCACCCAGTAAGTGAAATGGAATACGCTGTTATACTGTTGAAACATATTATAGCTCTGGATGTGGGGCAACAGCTGTACAGTGACCAGGTTGACACACTCGAGTTTGGGCGAGGCAAGGAAGAGCTGGACATTATACATCGTCGACCAGTCCCTGAGGAGCGGTGGAGTAGCCTAGTGGTTAATGCATTCGCTCGTCACGCCGAAGACCCGGGTTCGATTCTCCACATGGGTACAATGTGTGAAGCCCATTTCTTGTGTCACCCGCCGTGATATTGCTGGAATATTGCTAAAAGCGTCGTAAAACCACACCCACTCACTGAACCGCATTGTTTTACTTTCCGCCTCGCCCTTTCTGGCATGCCAAAGCCCTAAAAGTTTAAGTTTAGATTTCCTCAGAACGTCCCATCTCACTGGTGCTCCTTTTCAATTTAAAAGGAATTATTTGTTTCCATCAAATTATATATATCCAGAGACTAAGCCTTAGTCTACAGCATTAACAACGATCTACAGCTTGAGATATAAATATGATCCAAAACATGCTTGAAAATATTTCGTAGTATGGTCTTACACCGTAGTTTGGTCGTTGAATATTGGTTGGATGTTTTGAAAAATATTGTGTTGTGGGTACCAAAAATTGTTGGACTCTTTCAGAGATCAAATTGTATGCTTTGAATAATAATCCGTCTCAAACAGAAATCATATACTTATATGTAGCATCCCCTGCACAAACAATAATTCTTGTAACCAGTCGTATCTGTTTATCTCGGAATCAGTCCTCACACAGATGTGGAAAACTGGTGTTGTCTGTCGTTTAACGACAGCCAGTATGCTTTCAAATATATCACAGAGCTCTCTCAATATTCAAGCGGCCTCCTGGCAGTCCAATTCTGTATTTACATATTAAACATTCACAGCAGCCGGAACTGATGACCCCATAGGCCAGACGTGGACCACCTGTTTCTAATCACAGTCGCCACTAACACAAGCATTAGGTACTGGGGGCCTATCGGCAAAACGGACCCTCCATTGTTTTAGTACTAGATATAAGGTATGGCTGTTATTTGAGTGGGTGGCATAATCAAGATAGGGGACAGACAAAAGGGGGATTTGGGGGACCAACAGAACTTACACGAGGCTTTGGAGAGGACTACCCATACTAAACCAACATAGTGTATGCATGATCTTTCCCAGGCGTGTCTGCTAATTCTTCATGGTCTTAAACGGCGATTTGACATGGCCGTTTTAAATACCGTTCACCTCTGCAATACTGAGACGCGGCAACAGGTTCAAACATCCACATGGTACAACTAAGTACACTATTGGCTCTTAAAGTCAACGAACGTTTTTTGCGATAGTCAAAAATATTTGATAAAAAGACAACAAATCATTGTTGCCAGCATTATCAAAGATTCAAAATGTCAAATTACCAATCACTCCTTTGTATTTCCTATTTTCTGTATTATAAGACCTGGGTCAGTAGTGCTTACATCTTCATCTGTTATTATACTTCAGTCAGTAGTGCTTGTAAACATATGCATCAACGTCTGTTATTACACCATCAGTAGTTCTTACATGATTGAGCACATACGTCTGTTATTATATACCTCATCAGTAGTGAGTGAGTGAGTGAGTTGGGTTTTACGCCCCTTAAAGCAATATTCCAGCAATATCAACGATGGGGACACTATAAATGGGCTTCACACATGGTAGTCATTTGGGGAATCGAACCAGGGCCTTCGGCGTGACGAGCAAACGCTTTAACCACTAGGCTACCCGCCAACCCCCTGATTAGTAGTGCTTACATATTTACACTTTTTCTTTAGTGCTTATGTGTGCATCTGAGACTGTTATTACATCTCCCTCCGTGGAATTTACGCTCATGTTGCTCGCACTTATAGTTCTTAGCACACAGCCACAGCCCCGGCCACAGCAACGGCCACAGCCTCATCTCAGCGTTAATGAGTAGAGTGCCACCCGCGTCTTACACATGTATCAGCAGCGGGTACTTTTACCTGCCGGCAAACTACAATGGCTCCATTCACTGAGCGTGAAAGAAACGCCCTCACATTCCATAAAGTTGATTTAACATAACACAAAGTCAACATGGCATTAATTATGCGACCTCCATGCACAGAACAATTACCAACGGCTTGATTGGCACTAATAAACCCTAGTAAACAAGCCAGCGTGGTGTGAATAGCGTGTGACTGCCTAATCAAACACATCATAGTTTAATTACAGTGGCAGCATATATTAGTCCGAGGAGTCCCACTATATGAATTATGACCTCATTATTTATAGCTGTCCGACACGTTAATGTTGCTGCTTCAAATGGGATCAATAGCATAAATTAAGTCGGTTACAAAAAATAAGTTCGTTGCAGTCAACAACGTTCCCATTATATATTGGCGCTCTGTAAATATTTCGTGTCTGTGTCAGGCAACCACGTTATTGACAGCACTGGTAATCGTCTATGCCTGTTGTTAGCAATATTTCAGCAATATTTCAGCAATATCACAGACAAATATTGTACCAATGTTTTATTTGTTGTTTTACAATGCACTCCAGTTTTATGACGGCGTTCTCTAAATATTCATATCTGGACCAGGCAATCAGGCACTGGGATAGGGTGACATCATTTGGCTTCCTTTGTACCCGTGAGGCTACCCATGACACGCCGCTTTTAGCAATATTACAGCAATATCACGAGGGACGCATATACTTCACCAATAGATACACTGAGCAAATAACAGTGACAAACATTGACGGCAGTATGTTGCGTTTATATCACCCATGAGTATTTACTCACCAGCAATCTGTTCCTCTGTCAGCTGGTCTGCCTGTAATAAACAGAACAAGGACATGAGTCATTTGATCACAAACATTCAACAGGTGCAAGTGTCTACTTCCAATAGGTCAATATCTAGATGACATCTTACAAACGCTTCCCTGGGTAGTGAACAGCGACAGGGCTTCCGGCATGTAAACGTGCTCTAGTCAATAATGTACGTTGCCAGGATACCACGTAAACAGGCACCGGAACAAGGCATAATAGGGTCAATAACAAATCGCCTGAGATTGATTTTTAAAAACATAACTGTAAAATCCGCTGAGTTCAAACAAGGATATTTTCGGAAAATATATAGAATTTCTTGCCTCTGAAATTTGTCATGTTCTTAGTCCGGGTATGGAGATGGTTATAAATGGCAACTCTATATTTGGTCAAACTATTGTTATCCGGAAACAGATTGTTGACCTCAAATTTAAAGGTCGAAGAGTTAACCCCAATTTTGTTTGCTATTTGAGACATTACAGCAAAATACCGAATACATCTGAAGCAGTTTTTAAAGACACAGACGATGAATAAAAGATGTATTATTCCTTGTTCGAGTTCTTTAAAGCAGCAAAACGTAATGAAAAAACACCCCTGCAAATTCAACTACAAATGAAACATTTTACACGTTAGTAGTGAATGAGTGAGTTTTAGTTTTAAGCTGCTTTTAGCAATATTCGAGTAATATCACGGCGGGGGACACCAGAAATGGGCTTCACACATTGTACCCATGTGGAGAATCGAACCCGCCTCTTCGGCGTGACGAGCGAACGCTTTAACCACTAGGCTACCCACCGCACCTCACACGTTAGTATGAGGAATGGTACAGGCCGGGTTCCTATATAAGGCGCTTACAAAGCCTAAGTAGGTTATACATCACAGAAACTATGACCATTAAGGGAATTTACATAACTTGTGACCGAAATGTCAATAATAATTGGCATACTTGGCACTTTTATTGCAATGAGAATGCTTGAACGCTGTGCACTATGCTGACCCTGCTATGATTCACAGGAATTATTATGTGCATTGATGTTGTTCAACGCCGTACTCTTTAGTATGGGGGACGCCGGAAAATATTCGGGTCTGGACCAGACAAACCGATGATGAAGACTGACCAATGATACACGCCGCGGGGTGTTATGTTCTGTCTAAATAATATGCAAACATGAACCAAAATGTACAACGTGTCCCCCCTTTACTGCACCGCTCGTAAGGGAAATATTTCTTGATATTTGTATCAGATAACAAACATACAATGTCCAATCAGTACAGTTTTCCGAGAGGACCCTGGTACAACTAAATGATGGAATTCTGTATGTTGAATTCCGGGGTCACAGGCCACGGACCCGTTCAAATCATCATCCATCCATTGGTCAGAGTTCGTGAACTGAAACTTCTCCTCGAATGGCATTATTTCATCTGTAGAGCGACGAGTGTGACTGAGTGAGTGAGTTGGGTTTTACGCCGCCTTTAGCAATATTGCTGCAATATCACAGTAGGGGACACCCGAAATGGGCTTCACACTTTGTACCCATGTGGGGAATCGAACCCGGGCCTTCGGCGGGACGAACAGGCGCTTTAACCACTTGGCTACCCTACCGCCCCCGTTGGGGCCTGAACCAGGACAGTTGAGTCAGCAAGCAAACGCTTTAACCACTCTATCACACCATCCCATAATGCTCGCGACATACCGTCTCAATCTCTACGACAAACAGGTTACAGACATGTTGATATATGGAGAAGAGCTGTCTTATCACATTGTGATCACTTAATCAATTATTCCACAGCGACAAATACCCATGTCAGAGATATTACATTCCGCTGCTCGGATGACACAGCTTATCGACATACAGAACTGTCAACGAAACTTTGATTTTTTTAATGTCCCATTTACCACGGGGAACAATCCTCTCAATGGGAAGAATATATGACCTCTTTACTATAGTGAGTGAGTTGGGTTTTACGCCGCTTTTAGCAATATTCAAGCAATATCACGGCGGGGGACACCAGAAATGGGCTTCACACATTGTACCCATGAATCGAACCCGGGCCTTCGGCGTGACGAACGACCGCTGTAACCACTAGGCTACCCACCGCCCCATCTTCACTATAACGACACACATCTGTAATGAACAGGATTCAGTGATACAACTGATGTTTTATTATTACATGTAGAAAACGTTGAGGCAGTCTTTTTATTATTTGTTTGTCTTTTAACGTCGCACTCAGCAATATTCTAGCTATTTGGCGGCGGTCTGTAAATAACCGAGTCTGGACCAGGCAATCCAGTAATCAACAACATAAGCACCAATCTAGAATCTACGCAAGTGGGATACGATGACATGTGCCAACCAAGTCAGCAAGTCTGACCACCCGATCCCGCTAGTCGCCTGTTACAAGTAGGGGTTGCTGAAGACCAATTCTAACTCTTTACGGGTATTTTGGGGAGCAAAAATACGATAATCCGGAAAATGAATTGGAGGTAACCTTAAAATATTTTTGTCATTTTGGAATTTGTTCATGACGAACGATTCGAACATTAAGCATATCGTGTGTGTAAAGTTGTCCCCACCGTTTGCGATTGGAGGCCATGAATGGTTGAGTGAACGTAAGGTTGGCATGTGGACAAATCTTTCATTAAAAAAGAGAATGCTTCAACCACTGACTATGGCCAATCATCAATCTCCCCCTACTCTGACGAGAAAGATTTAGAGATTTTCACGCTAGTCGAGACTAATAAATTATTCCGAAGGTGAGAAAAAACTGAATGGTAGTCCTGGTTGATTTGAAGACTTTGTGGGTATATATTCTGAACCAGTTCTCATAAATGGAACTGAATATGGCCCCCAGAAACTGATAACTTTCTCCTTGTACTAGCAGGACTAGCCCCAGACTGCGTGGACTAGTTAAATAACTACTAAACTGGACGTATTGAGGCAGCAAGGGTCCCGTGGAGAGGCCACTTGGAATGCTCAGCCCCGTCTCAAAGCTGGGGGCCACTTGACAACGGTGGAACGCCGTTGTAAGTAGCTTCAGATAATCTCGGTTGAACTTGAAGTCTTGATTGTGCTCGAACAGCCGAATGATAAATACTAAAGGGTGATTAGAGCATAAGATGAGTGATTACCCAGTCGGCCTTCAGGGGGTGTATGTATGCCTTCGTTTGATAAGCAGGTAGGGTGTTAACGAAGCCGATTACTAACGCTAGGGAAAATCTACAAAGACCCGTTGACGAGTGTTCCCTTTGCAATGTATACCAGTTTAGTAGCTAGGAGCTACCAGTAGCCATGGTATCGCTAACTCCATAACTCCAAGGTGACGATTGTCGCAAGGATAATGTTGTCACACCTTGCAGTTTGAAGATGCGTATCCTTCACATCGAATAAACAAAGTGATAAATTTATCGTTTAAAACAAGGTGTCGCAAGTGTTAAAACTTGTATCCATGGAAACAGGTGAATTATTCTCTTTGAACAAACCAGGCTTAGAAGATGGCATAACTAGCAACAGCTAGTAATGTACAACTTACGTCAAATAAAGCATTTTCTCCACCTATGCCCTTGGTGATTTAAATAAAAATGTGGGTTTTTACAAATGCAGTTTAGAGGAGTTTTAGACAGAAAAATAACAAACATTTCACTCTCAAGTCTCCGCAATTAACTGGGTCTCGTCTCCAAGGGCTATTTTCGGTCGATGACACCGATAACCGCATACTTATACGCCTCAGTTAGTCATAGCCGAGTGAATCAGTAGTGAACAATCTGAAGGCCTGTAATATATACGTACGTACAGTAATTGAGGTTAAGTTGAGGAGTATGTTTGTATATCCCCGGCAGCCTTCCATACTTGGATACAAATGTTTATACGTCGATACCTCGGTACATTTTACACTAGGTGTGATACGCAGAGTAATAACTGCAACCGATGCGTAAACGGTGCAATTAACATATCTAATTTCACGTCGCCCTTGGGCTCAAGAACTGGACAAAAATTAAGAAATGGATTTGTTTTAAGGAGTTGACTTCACACACTGAAATTGGCACTATTCTTTCACCACTGATTTAGTCCCAAAATATAACAGCGAAGATTTCTAAAAACTTATATAAACCTTTTTTCTTAGCAAGTCCAAGGTTTCGGGAAGTCAGCGATAATTATAAGAACTATTGCTTATTGTTGCAAACGAAAACAATGTTACCCTGCCTTTTCAAAAAGTATAATAAGTTATATTATAAGTTATAGGTTCGCTTTTAACAAAAAATCCTACCAGCCAACAAATCTTTTGAAGATAGCAAGGACTATTGTCGGGTTACAATATGTTTTCATGGGAGTCGTATAAACTTAATTTACTAGTTCAGTTACAGTTTTTTTTTATTACAATACGTACAGGTTTGATTGTTTAGTTCAGTCAACAGTTGTCATTATAATACAAACAGGTTTTACTGCATATTTGTTGTAGCTCCACGCTCAGTATTACAGCTGTATATCAACTGGCTGTAAACAATCGATCAGACCACTGATTAAACTGCATCGCTACAGTGTCAGGGTACGACGACACAGAAAGTGTAATGAGTCTCACACCCGGGCCATCTGGTCGTCCTTACGACGAGCAAGGCTTATCCGGGCTTCCTTTCTAACATGATCCCAACGGGGATTAATACACGGAGGAGGTGAGGTGAAATTGGGTTTAACGTCGTGCTTGAGAATATTTCGCTCATATGACGACGTGCATGCGTGTGTATGTGTGTATGTGTATGTGTGGCTGCTTGTACTAGCCCAGACTGAAGCTGGTTTTATAGTGCTAGCCCACTGAGATACCAAGCCGCAGTGAAGCATGAATACCCCACTCAGACACATTATACTGACTCCGAGCCGACCAGTCCTTGTACCCATTAATGCCGAGCGCCAGGCAGGGACCAACAAGTACCATATTTTAACGTCTTTTGGTATGACGCGGTCGGGGATCGAACCCGCGACCTTCCGCTCTCCGGGCGGACGCTCTAACCACTACACCACGGAGGAGGTCAATACACGGAGGAAAAGTGAG